GGCCGGGTTCGGCCCTGCAGGAAACCGCCTCGCGGTGGGGTCGTGGCGGCGGTGGCCTGGCTTGTCCGAGCCCCCTGAGCGTCTCATCTGCTTCTTCCCCGCAGGAAGGGCTTGTCCCAGTCAGCCTTGCCGTACCGACGCAGCGTGCCCACGGTAAGTCACGTCCCTACCCCCTTCGCCTTGGGCAGGCCCGGGCCTTGCCGCGGTGCTCCGGGAAGGGTCCGGATCCCTCAGTGCAGCTTAGTAGTGCCCAGGAAAACAAACAAAACGAAGAGAGCTGTCGTATTTTGTCCTATTTTAAAATCATGGCCCGATAAAATGCTGCTTTAGTCTGTGGCCTTTGGAATACTGAGAAAGCAAGTATCATTTTCTTGCCAGATGATTTGTTGGGCAAAAAAGGCTCTTCCTTCTTTTTACTTGTCTTTACATAAGTGATACTTTGTGTGCTGATATTCCTAGAAATTAAATTGCACTCTTTGTCCCCGAGTTTGCCTTTTGCCATTGTGGAGTAAAATGACTGTTTACTAGCCGTTAACAGCAGTAATTTGTTGGCCAGAGCACTAACTTAACCAATTTCAGCAGGCCTTCTGCTTGAAAGGCTGACTTGTCAGCTAAATGAGCAGCAGCTAATTCTAACTTGCTTTGCAAGACTGTGTCTTGGAGGATCTGTTTGTTGGCAGAAGGATCAGCTTACGGTGCATGTGGAAAAGTACTGAAAAGCAGTTAAAGCAGAAACATGAAATTAAAGCATAAAACGTGAAAATAAAGATGTACCATTCAAAGTAAGATAATGTAAAGCTGCTTGAAGTATTGTTGAGGGTTAAACAGTTTGTGATTGATTAGGATGCTCAAATGTTATGCATGGTTTGAAAAGCCTTTTGAGTTGTAATGCGTAGAGCATTTCCAAATACGTTTTTTGTTGTTCTTTTCTGTTTCATACTGTGATAGTATTAAAAAAGAAAAAAAAAATCAGAGCTTTGGTAGTTTTTTTTGAAGAATGAGGATTACCTGCTGTGTTGGTGTTGCCTTCATCTTAATAATCATGGAAGCAATGGCTCAATCAGCACAGTTAAACATAGACCCAGTAGAAAAGGCACAACCTTGTCTGAGTAGGTCTATTTGTGTACTTTTTTCTAAGACTGGTTTCACTAATCTCTCTAGGTGCTTCGCTAAGAGATGGCTAAATGCTTCTCAGTTTCCCATTTCTCTCCCAGGCTCAATTAAAGGGTTTCTTCCCATGGCAGTGATTTTTTTCCTCAGTAAATTTGTGTTCATACTAGTGGTGTGCAGTTAAAGTAAGCTGAATAAAGCAGCTCGTTGGAGGTATGAGGTGTTTCCATCAAAAACTGTCTTGCTTCACTTCTGCCTTTCCCCACCATGCTTCACTAGCACTATGGTTTCATGATATATATAAAAGTTGCTCTATCATTAGTAGTAAAATTTCATTTCTTGATTGTTTTTTCAAGTTTTCCTATAGCTTCTTTGTTAAGCAGTGTTGATCAGTTATTGGGGTTTTTTTCAATTTTCTTTAGTGGCTGAAACTTACTTCTGATGATGTAAAGGAACAGATCTACAAGCTGGCTAAAAAAGGCCTGACTCCCTCACAAATTGGTAAGGTTTATGAATAACTTTCTAAACAGAGACAAAATACATGTTTCTGACTGTAGTTCCTCCAACCTATATGCTAGGAACATGCTAACATGCTAAGAAAATACAGGTTTTCTGCTGTACCCGTGTGTTCACTGTGGCTAACATTCAAACTAATGTGCCTCGTTCTTGCAAGAGGCATATTTTGTGACATAACTGAGGTTTTTTCTTCAAGCAGAAAATTGAAGCATCATAACCTGTCCTTAGGAATGGCTAGCAATAGATGTTGCAGGGAAGTTTGGTCTGCCCAGTTTCTTTGAGAAAAACTTGACATCTCATCTCAAATATCAGCAGCCCTGTGTTTACTGAGCCAGGCACTGTAGCTGCATAATTGACTAGTTCTCAGTAGTTGGGATACATGTCGAGCTCTGCTTAACTGTACATGTGCTACAACTTTGTATGGTCATGAGTTCTGCAGAATAATTATGTGCTATGGGAATGATTTTTTAATTTATTTGATGGTAATCATGAATGTATTCATGTTCCTTATAGTTAGAGTAAAGATGGCTATGACATCTTTGTTAGCCATAGAGTAAAGGGTGATTGAATGCCTAGCTCTGATGAATCCTCTAGAAAATTTCCCAGTAATATTCTAGCACTTAAATGTGTTACCTGGCTAAATGTGAGGGCTGGGTTAGTTGTTGGTTAAGCACCAGCTGGTAACAGTGCTTTATCTTCTTTAAGTTGCATTTTGTCTATTATTCACAGTTTCCACCAGAAAGGTTTTTAATTTAGAAGGACTTTTTTGGATGTCTTGTGAAACCAGCCTTACAGTTACAAGGTTTGTTTTAAATCTTTTCAGTGTGAGATGTAAATGTTTGTTCCAGGTGTGATCCTGAGGGATTCCCATGGTGTTGCCCAGGTTCGCTTTGTCACTGGCAACAAAATTTTGAGAATCCTTAAATCGAAGGGACTGGCCCCAGACCTTCCAGAGGATCTTTATCACTTGATCAAGAAAGCTGTTGCTGTTCGAAAGCATCTTGAGAGAAACAGAAAGGTGAGTGCTAATTTAGCTAGGTAACCCTTTTTTTTTTTTTTCCCCCCCAAATAATAAAGGAGTTTGTTTAGAGCCTGACAAAGCAAAGATTCTTAGAGCGCTTCTTGTTAGCCACCCCCTTTGTGTAAACTTAGGGGTTTAGGGAGGCGTTTTGATAAAGGAGGGTGGTCTTCGTGAAAAGGATCTTAAAAGCATTGCTTAAACCATGTATTTCTGCTCATGTTGTGATTTTACTGGATTCATCAGGCTTTGGGAATGTGGAGTTTGTAGCAGTAGCTGTGGATTGTTTTACTTCACCAAAGCTCATCCAAAATGTACATCCTCAAGAGATCAAAGTAGTGCCTGATTGTAATGGAGCTTTCTTTTCAAGGATAAAGATGCCAAGTTCCGCCTGATTCTGATCGAGAGCAGAATCCATAGGCTGGCTCGCTACTACAAAACCAAGAGAGTGCTGCCACCCAATTGGAAGTAGTAAGTCTTCTCTTACAGGGGCTGTAAACACTGTGCTGGGGCTGCTACTCAAAGGGTGAAGAGTGCATTATAATCAGGTGTACAAGTAAACCAGGCAGCAAAGAATAGGTATTTTCCTAAATATTAATTTAATGGAGTGTATTGCTGGGTAAAATGACTGTTGCAACGCTTGGATACAATAATTGTCTTAAATGAGTGAACTTGCTACTTTGTAGCTTTTGTCTTGCTTCCTACAAGCTATGGTCTCTTCTCACTTAGATACTTTTATCTTTCATGTTGCTTTGAAAATGTATTGAGAAATGACTTGGTAGCTGAGCAGAAATGAAAGTAATTTGTAGTTTTTCCTTAGGAAAATTTAGCCAATATAGGAGAATTCACATAGATGTTAGGGTGAGCTTCTCTTTTTATGAAAAGGCTCGAGTGCACCTGCCCAGGTTTTGAATATATGCTTTTGTGCTGTTATCCTAGTATTTGTGCTTTAAAAGGAAAAGTGAAATCTTTCTTTATGCAATACGTATTTTGAACGGATAGTGATTAAGCTTAGGACTGATAGTTAAAGCTTTGAACTGGAGCAGTATTTTTAACAAAGAGTTTGGAAACTGTCTCTGCAATTAATGTTTTTCTCTCTTCTCTCTTTTTAGTGAATCATCAACAGCTTCTGCCCTGGTCGCATAAAAGCTGGCAAAGACTTACTGAAAGAATAAATTTCCTTTAACTAAGATTGTGTTGTCTCTAAGTGGTATCTTATAAAGTTTTGCTTGTTCCAGGAAGCTTCTTGAAATGGGCAGTTTTCAGGCTGGAGCAGACATGTGGCCATGGTTTCTGTATTGCTGTCCTACAGTATCAGATCTGAGTAGTAGTTACTGCTGTTCTAGACCAACTGTATCGTTTGTGTCTATGCATAAACTGGATTTTTATATGATAGCCTCAAGTTAGTAAAATGAGCTACTCATTCACAACAGATAACGTTTTTTTCATGTGGGGCTGTGCCCCTGTGTGTTCTGCAGGAAGAACTGGGAAAGAAAATGACAGGAGAAAGAACTGGAAATTCAGAAAATGCAGAAAGGATTAGGTAGGAGGAGGGGAGAGGGAAGGTGAGCAGAATTGCAGAGGTTGATTAGTTCATTGCAGATATTGTGTATCTGCTCCTTGTGCAGAAAGCTTAAGATGTCAGCCATTTCCTGGCACTAACTTGCTGTAATTTTTAAGTTGTTTTCAGAATAATCTTTACAATTTGGGTAAATACAAACAGTGGTTTAGCTCTCCTCAAATGTTGCATCTTTACTGAGTTAAGGGGCAGTAGCTATTGTATAGAACCCCCAGGTTCTGAATAGCTTTGAGCATAAGAGTAATTTTTCTGCTGGAGAAAAATGGAGAGCAGACTTGACAGTTTTTTCCTTTTTTTTTTTTTAGGAAAAAATGATAAATGGAGTTATTCTGAGCTATTATGGCTGTTAAGTTCTAAGTTACACAGAATCATAGAATGTTGGGGGTTGGAAGGAAGCTCTTTAAATTTGCCATATTGAACAATTTAATGTTTTTATAACATTTAGTAGCTACTTACTAGATCATAACCCGTGGAACCTGGTAACTTCTGAATTTTGCAGAAACACAGGATTCCTTTGCCCTGATTTTGAAGTTAAATACAAACTTGTAATTAGGACAGTTTTAGAAGACAAACTGCACTCCAGTTGAGGTCTAGTGCTACTAGTCTGGTCTACCTTAAAAAGTAAGTTACCAGCCTTCTTCATATGCTGTTAAAATATTTGCTTTCATTTCTGAAAGCTTCTGGTGATTACTTGCCAGACTGTCACAATTATAATTGAGTCCTGTGATGTAGATGTGATAAACTACTTAAGTGATACTAAAATACAACAAAAAGTTTCTGTGAGTCTTTAGGATTGGAGGTATTGCCGACTGAAAAGCACAGGAGCTCTCAATTCATTGTTCTAGAAAACATTGTATGTAAATAATGAAACTACCAGCAGATGGCACTTAGAAACATAAGTGTTTTTAACAGGTTCTGTGTTGCAAATAGTGCCACCTAGAGATCAAACGTCAGGGCTGACAGTCCAAGCGAGTGAACAGATGATACGTTCAGAATTGTAATGCTACTGTATGTGTTGTGCCAACTGATAAGATGTTTTTGAACGCAGTAGTGTTGAAGCTTATACAGTTCTTATATTTTATTGTACTGAGGTGTTTTCTGAATTTAATCTCTACAGTTTCTTTGCTGACACTGGTTTGCAGGCTGTATTCCTGTGGGATTTTGCCCATCCAGTGGTGCTGAAAGCTGCTGACCTTACCAGAAGAAGAGGGAAGGGCAGGGATTGTTAGAGTGATGGGGTCATCGCAGGGATGGAGGATAAGGGGATTACCGTGGAACTAATTGTCTTGTGCTGTGCTGTTGGGAATTAAATTACTTGGGGGACAGATCCTGGGCTTGCAGTGAGATCAGATCCAGGTGTTGAAGGTACTCCTGAGGATAGTGAAAGACCAGTGGACTGTATTTTCTGCCTGTAGAACCTGGCAACCTCTTGTCAAGGAACAGGAATGGTATTGTAGTACTGATCTGCATATATTCTACTACTTACATTGATCAAGTTTCTGTATTTCCTGTAGATCATGCAGGCTACCTTCATTAAGCTGTCCATTCTCATTAAGATTGTCAGTCCCTTGCCCCTTTGATTGCCAGAAGAGGTGCACCATCAGTCGAATTCATTTGCCCCAGGGCACACAGGTTGTCTGCTCAGCAGGTGGTATGACACAGGGCAGCTGCTGGGCCAGGTGTGGGAACAGTGGAGCCAAGGCATTGGCTGGGGTAAATTCTGGGGGAGCAGAGCCCTACAAAGCATGACACCGAGCAACCCATTGGGAGGATGTGGTCCTGCGTCGTGTGTCTGAAGAGAGCATGGGACTGGCAGGTGCATGGTCCTGTGGAAACATCAGGTAGGTTTACCATTTGGGGCAGTGATACAGGACTGTGTGAGGGTGAGAGTGAAACTTTCAGCTAGTTTCCTAAGTCTACCACATAGCCAAGCACTGAGGCTTCTCCAAGCAGCTCAGGACCTGTGGTCAAGCTGCTCAGGTACAAGATCGTGGATGCTTAGGAAAGTTAGTGGAGTCTTTCCTGCTGCTCTGGGTAAAGGTACAATAACTTCCCTTAGCTGGAGAGATGCAATAATGTGAATGAATTTTGATCTGCAAATAGTTGCCAAAAATTAATTCTTCAGATGAAACAGCACAAACCATTCCATAACTATCCATGGAGATAACCATGGGGTTATCTACAGGCATCATCTTATTTCCCTCTCTCCAGCAGGGTGTGTTCTGCAGGCTTTGGGCCCCACTTCCCCTTTTCTCCAGTCACAATGTCCCATCTATTTATGATTTCTTTTGCATTGGCTTAACCTTCAGAAGCTATGTTCCTGTTTCTGCCTCATTTCCAGCAGCCTTTTCTCAATTTCCATTATTCTCTTGCAGTACTTTCTGTTCTCCCAGCAGGTACAAATCTAAGCAATGATTATTTATTTCCCCTATCTCAATGTGGGCTTTTTCTTGTGTTATGCCAGAGCACACATCAGAAAGGAATTCTCAGTCTTCCCCACTTCCAGCCCTTGGACCCTCCGGCATGGAGAAACCTGCCCTTACTTCAGAGGCACAGCCACAGGGTCTCTGCCTCCACAGCAAGTCACCCAACGAGGGGCCCCCTCAGCAGCCATGTGGCCACACTATGCTTTGCTGCTCCACACCAAGCTTATTCACATGATGAGTTTGGTTCACAAAAGCCTCCCATTAGACTTCAGTCCTTGCCAGCTCTGCAGCTCTTGCAGGGCTGTGGGGTGTATGTCAGAGGCTGCTTTCCTTTGGCTTAAAAACAACCGGTTTTGAAGGCTGGCTTCTGGGGCACCTGTTGTTCTCACAGACACTCATTGGTCAGGGCTGTCTGGCACTTCCCAGGAAGGTTTGTTTAGTTTTGTTTTAGGAAAAACTGATGATTCTTTGCTGGGTGGGTCACTGAGGGTGGTAAGGAGGGAACTGGTTTCCTTCAGGTCTGAGGCATTACATCCAGATGGCACAGAGATATGGGACATGGGCACTCATTCTTTGGGTTCGAGGCTGGATTTTCTGTGCAGGTACCCAGTCCCTTCTGTTCCAGGTGTCTTCTTGGGAGCATGAAGCTGTTGTCTGTTACCTTTCTGCACCCTTTTTCTCTCCCCCCCCCAAGTTTTATTGCTCCAAGTGTTTGTCTTGCTTCTGTTCCAGGTGTCTTCTTGGGAGCGTGAAGCTGTTGTCTTACCTTTCTGCACCCTTTTTCCCTCCCCAAGTTTTATTGCTCCAAGTGTTTGTCTTGACAGTTCTGGCTGTGTGTCTTAACTTTCTGATAAGGAAGTTTCCGCCTTGCAAATCAGTCAAGCCAATTTTCTTCCATCCCTTCAGGTGTCATGAGTTCAGATTACCCTGATTTGAGTGTGGAGTCTCCTCCACTGGAGACATTCAAAACCCGCCTGGACGTGTTCCTGTGTGATGTACTCTAGGTGACCCTGCTCTGGCAGGGGGGTTGGTCTAGATGATCTTTTGAGGTCCCTTCCAGCCCCTAGGATTCTGTGTGATTCTGTGAATGAAAGCTATACTCTGATTTTTCTGGGTGAAGGTTTGTGCTTCACTTTTTTCCACTGTTTGCAGTGTCACTTTCAGATCTTAAAAGACAATGTAGTTAAAAAGCACTGCACATGTTTCTTGGGACCCAAGGCTGGTTTGTTTTCCGTTGCCATTTAAATGAAGAGCAGTGGGGCCTCCAGAGGCAAGTTTGGTGCTCCCATAGCTCCGGGATAGCTGGTGTTTCTGGCTTAGGCCAGTGCTGCTTCTTATTCACGCAGTTATTTTGTTTCCTTTTCAATGCTGGAATCAAACTAGTGAAAAAATGTGCTGTTGCTGGGAAGTCCCTTCAACAACTCTGCATCATTTGCATGACAATACCTTGTCCTGCCCTGGTAACCTCCCTCTGCCAGCACGTACCTTGGCAACAGGAAATGGTACAACAATGTTCACTGCACAAATGGGATGTTTGTGAATGTCCCTTTGTTGCTTCCCAAGAATTTCTGGACATACTTGGAGTTGAATATATGAAGGTTTCCCTACTTTCTCTCCACTCTGTCCAGCTTTTGGGATAAGTTTCATTTCTGGTTAGAAATCTACAAGCCTTGTAATCAACAGTGTTGCAGACTGGTGTGAGCTCTTTCACCACAGGAGTTTTTAAAGACATTAACCAGCACAGGTGCAGTAGCTGGAGCTGAATCAAAATAAAAGATTAACAGCAAAACAGTATGTTTTGGATATTGATGCTAAACAGTAACATTGTCCTACAGGGCTTGGTTACTAGGGGAGAAGTACTTACTAGCAGTTAGGACAAAAGGAGGTGAAGTATAGCCTGTTATATCAACCCCAGAGCTTGAGATACTGTGTGGCAGGTAATTACCCTGGCAGTGCCTGAGGCAAAAGGTGTACCTACATTAAAAGATCACCTGAGTTTTCTAGTGAGTACTGGTTTTACAGACTAATATTTTATTCCCTTTCAGGCTGCTCACTCAAGACCCCTTTTCAGGTCAGAATTCTCCTTCAGAGCCAGGAAGGGCTTTCAAGTTGAGTGCAGCTGTCAGGGATCAATCTCTTTTACAGCTCCTTCAAGTTCTTTATGATGCAGATGAATTATTTCC